AGGCACGTGATTTGTATCAACCAATGGGATTTGGGAGGTATGCAGGCCCTAGCTGCGAGTCACCAAACGTGGTAACATTTCTACACCATTACATTGTAACGTAACAATGTTTTCACAACGTTATTCTACAGTAAAACGTTGTTGCGGGAACCTCAAAAGAACACCACCTAGTTACATTCCCAGAACGTTACAAAAAACTTTTCGGAACGTTAGCTTAACATTCTGTGAACGGTTCCAGAACGTGATTGGGCCAGCTGTGTAGTAGCTCTAGTACTATAGCCCGCTTACATTAACTGCAGCTGGAACGCCAAACGCCGACTATCTGAGCGGAGCGCCACCATCGGTTGGCGCGGAGCGTACAAGAAAATTTTTGGTTTTACAAACCCCCCAGATGGCCGGAAAAGGCCGCGGCGTTGGCAGAAAGATGCGATATGATATGACTACTAGGCACTTTAATTTAATTTAATTTTTTTTTTTTTAGGGTTAGGATTAGCCTTAGGGTTAGGGTTAGGGTTAGGGTTAGGATTTTTTTTTTTTTAAGTGCCTAGTAGTCATATCCTAAGTGCCTAGTAGTCATATCCTAAGTGCCTAGTAGTCATATCCTAAGTGCCTAGTAGTCATATCATATCGCATCTATCTGCCGTGTGCGAAACGGCCCTTCCCGAGTGTTCATTCTGGTTCCCTGGCCTCGTGCTAACTTGAGACACCTCATTCAATATCACTTTTAAACCTAGCTCTAGTACTATAGCCCGCGGATTGCTGCCGCGGGCTATAGTACTAGAGCTATTTTAAACCCAAAAACACAAACGAGTTAAAATAGTGTTACGAAAGAGTTAAAATGTTAAAAAACTGACAAGATCAGATCCTAGTCTTTTTCGGCGGGTAGAGTGTTGAATGAAACGGCACGCGATAGAAATGACAGCCTAGATGACAGTCAGACAGAAGAATAAGTAACCTAATTTAGCCATATTCTTGCTACGTTCATACTATAGACTAGTGCTCTAGCTCTAGTACTATAGGCCCGCGGATTGCTGCCGCAGGCTATAACATAGCGGGAAAATATTACCTCAATGTCAGGAACATCTTTGCTTACTGAATACATGGCGAGAACTTGACGTTGCCAACAAAACTAAAAAAAAGCAGAAGTGTGTCACTGCATAGGTCAATGTGATACATGTAGTGACTAGTGAGTAGCGAGTTGGCATTGGAGTGGTAGCGAAGTGTGCGCCGATGTGCGCATGTCCGTGGCGCACTACGAATCGTACGGTGCAGTTGCAGCCTTCAACCAATAAGTAATCCTTAATTTAAATAGCCGCACAATGCGCATCCAAACGCTAATTTCTCCAGTACTATAGACTAGCAAATATGGGATGGGATGGGATGGCATGGCATGGGATGGCATGGGATGGGAGGGGATGCGGTGCGATGGGATGGGATGGAATGGGATGGCATGGCATGGCATGGCATGGCACTGAGTGTGATGAGATGGGATGGGATGGGATGGGATATGGGATGGGATGCGGTGCGATGGGATGGGATGGCATGGGATGGATGGATGGATGCATGCATGGATAGATAGATAGTTAGATTTTTTGGGGTATTTTCCTTTCAACCAAGCGGTCACCAGCTGAGTAACGCCACTGATTTCCCCGGGCAACGCCGGGTATCCCGCTAGTACGAAAATATAGCTCTAGAACTATATAGCTCTCCGCTCCGCCGCAGGGGGTGGGTTCGCGCGAAGCACGGAAGCTCTAGCACTAATTAAAACGGGAGATTCAGTGCTCTCCTCACTCTCTCTCTCTCATTTAATTTTATGTGGCGTCAAAAAAGTGGGGGTGCATGAGCCCCCTTAGACCACCGTTCCGCGGGCCCTGTATAGTACGTACCAAGTGCGTACCGCAGCAGCTGATTCGCGCTATTGTTTTCATCGCGCTAGGGTCATCAGACGGGTTGCTAAGGGGAAGTGACGTCACTCCGCCCCACCTATAATAATATGGCCTGCAGGCCGCAGATTTAAAATATATATATATATACATGGCCCGCAAGAATGTAAAGTACAGTAGTAACACACAGTCACAGTGTAGCGATGTTATGCAGATCATCACTCTCTCCCTGTATTATACTCAGTGTGGATCATGTTTTCAGTGATATATTTTTCAGTAGTCCATTCCTGTAGATTGTTTTCTGTCTCTTCTCTTGTCCACGTTGCTCCCCAAATTTTTCCAGACTGTTTTGTTGCAATGCCAATACTGGCAATAGTTTTATTCATGTAGTGCATGCTAGCACTGTTTACAATCACGTATATGCTTCCGAGTATAGTTTTCAACATACTTTATCTAACTACCACTGTGCGCTGATATTTTGTTTAAATTGTTTTACCCGTACATTGCGCTCAGTGAATTCATTTATTGAGCTCTGCTGCGGAACTGTGTGGAAAATACCCTGTGCTACCCTTACTACCCCAGATGAAGGATCTTCTGTACAAATGTATACAAATAATTTCATATGGTTTGTAAAAATATCCAGTTTTTGTGACTTTCTTTTAGTGAGTTATGCCATTATGCTCGTCGCTGCAACCGCATGTGATCGCTCGCATGCTTCACCATGTGTGTGCATGCAAGCGATTGCTGTTCACAGCAGTCGCTTCTTTCCATTGTCTTTTTGTGTTTCCATTGTCTTTCCATGACCTATATTACCCGCACACATGCATTTTTCGAAGCAATTGCGAGCGACGAGTTGCTGAAACTCAAACCTGTTTGATTTCTTGCAACTCATTGCAAGTGACCAGAATCGCTACGAGTTGCAGTTGCATGTTCCCGCAGACTAGCGACTTTTTCATGCAACTTGGCTGGGATTCTAGAATTGCAGCCAAGTTGCATAAAAAAGTCGCCAGGATTCTGTCAGATAGCACGTGGTGTTCGATTGTCTAGACAGCGGAGTGTTGTCTCGTACTCTGCTTTCTAGACAGCCCCCGACCATGCCTGATTTTGTACGTGCCTAAGATTACCCCAAGCGTGTTGGATAACGATGTCCTGCTGTGCCTTATGCCACCTCCTTTCTGTGTCTTACGTTCTTATTGTGCTACGAATCTACCTCTCGTGTGGTATCTGTGTCTAAACTGGTGGTAATGACCGAAGGGGTTTACGCAGCTATTGGGGAGGTTTACGCAGGTATACGCGAGTATCGAGGTATATTCTTGTTGTATATTCCTCTTTATGTACAAACTGAAAAATAACTTGTATTTGTGGTGAACCAGCCTATCTTCCAGGGTAAGGCATGTCACTCGGGGACATAGCCACTGTGTTGAGCAGGGTATTGTTTAGGCACGAAATTATGCAACATGTGCAACGGAATTATTGTCGTGCCAATATATAGCCTCCAATCAGAATGGCTAATCGCGCTTTGTTCTAGTCAATCCACCGTTTGACCAATCAGGCCTAAAAAAGATGTTTGTTTCCGCTAACCTGACCGAGTACATTTTAACCCCCCCTTGTCGAATCTTTTTATTGTGATCGGCCAAAAAAGTGTAAAAAAAATGTTTTTTTAATATTTTTTTAAAATAAAAAAATGCCAACGTGATATCGATCGGTGAATGCATTGATTTGACTTTTAAGTCATTATATGGGCTGTTATAAGTATAAAACAAGTATTGTTAGAATACAAAAAAAAATAAAAAATTGATAAAAAAAGGTTTTGCTTGCCTACCGTGTCCATTTTTTTTCAGCTCGTTAGCGGAAACAAACATATTTTTCTTAGGCTTCAGCAGTAACTGAGCCGTGATCGATAAGGGACCTTCGCAATTTCTCTCCCTCTCTTGGCTCTCTCTCTTTGTGGTACTCATCCCTGCCGTGATTTAACCCGGCTCTTTACTGTGTCACATACTTATTGTGTTACGAATCTACCTATCGTATAGAGCCGATCCGCGTATATATGTAAGTGTATTAGTCTGACGTTATTCTTTGATTAAACACGTTGGTTGAATGGGCGATGCATGAAGTAATACATCTCCGTTGTTGATCTATGTCTTCCTCGTTCGCACCACACAGTTAATCAGAAACAGATAGCATCAGTCAAGATAGAAAAGGCATCTCAACATACAGGTGCACACTATGGGACAAGAAATAAACAGAAAGGAAATTTATCAACGCCTACTCTAACCAAGGCCAACCTAGATCACGTACCAGTACATCAGCGTGGAGCTCTAGAGGAGCTATTAATGCAAAATAGTGACTTGTTTGCTGAAAGCAACGTGACCTAGGACGTACCAACCTGGTAAATATGACAATAGACACCGAATGACACCCACCTATACGACAAAAGCCATATCGAACACCGATTAATTATCGACCTATGATTGATCATCATGTGAATCAGCTATTAGAAGCCAAGATAATAGAACCTAGCAATAGCCCGTGGGCAAGTCCAGCCTTCATCGTTCTCAAGAAAGATGAACCTGAAGGACGAATGGTCATAGACTACAGGAAGCTTAACAAGGTCACAAGGAAGGACACATATCCATTACCCTGTATACAAGATATCCTTGGATCGTTAGGAAACTCACGTTTCTATTCAACTCTTGACCTAAAGGCGGGCTACTTCCAAATAGCAATGGCAGAGGAGGACAAAGCCAAGACTTGTTTTATCACCTACAGAGGTGCATTCCAGCCGAATGTCCTTTCGTTCGGCTTGTCGAGTGCACCTAGCATTTATCAAAGATTATTAGATACCGTATTAAATGGATTACATCACAAGTGTGCCATTCCATACATAGATGACATAATCATTTTCAGCCAAACCTTCGAACAACACCTATTAGACATCGAAGTGGTTTTTGACAGGTTACGCGATGCAGGGCTCAAGCTTAAAGCTTCAAAGTGTGAATTCCTCAAAGACAAGGTTAATTATTTAGGACACATTGTCTCACCCCAGGGCATAGCCCCTGACCCAAAGAAAATCGAGGTAGTCAAACAGCTTAAAGACCCTAAAAACGGTCAAAGAAGTACGACCATTCTTGGGCATGGCAACCTATTACCGGGCACACACTAAGTCATTTGCAAACATTGCAAAACCACTAACAGCATTAACACACAAATACGCCAAATTCGAATAGAACAATGACGCAGAACACGCGTTTCAGACCCTAAAGCAGAAACTCACCAAAGCCCCAATCTTAGCATATCCGGACCCTACCAAGAGCTACCGTCTATTCACAGACGCCTCATCATACGCAGTAGGAGCCGCTCTTACACAAATAAACGACGAAGGAAACGAGGTCGTTATATCATACATCAGTCATCAGTTAAACGAAGGACAAATGCGTTGGCCAGTCATAGAAAGAGCAGCATATGCCATCGTCTATGGTCTACAGAAGTTGCGTCATTAGCTGGCCGGGGCGAAGTTTGTCATCGTTAGCGATCATAAACCACTACAATATCTGCTAACGAGCCCAAATCTTAAGAATGCTCGACTTCAGCGATGGGCATTAGTCATTTCGGAACACAATGCGACAGTTGAGTATCGCTGTGGCCTAGCCCACAGAAATGCAGACGCATTATAATTTGTCACGAATCAAAACTAAAAGTGATCCCACACCAGAGGTAGAAATCCAACAAATCACCGATGAGCCAGGACCTAATACAAGTGCAAACGAGGACACACAGGTCAAACAGCCTGATACTACAGAGGTAGTTATTCAAGAGGTGCCGGAGGAGCACACAGAGCGACAAGAAGAACGGTCTTCAATTAATCATTCAGTATTAAATCTAACAGGAGTCAAAAAGGAGCAACGAGTAGACACCCAACTGCAGAACATTATACGGGCCCTTGTGCCAACTCACTTTGCCTGGGCACGAAGACGTGACACAAATTTATCCACAGTCTCCCCAGAATCCTAGGACAATCCACGGAAAACATGTCTTTCATAGGGCTCATTCACCTTAGTGATGAAGTATGCATCCAATGTACGTACAGCATGTATATACACACATGGTGCCTCCGGGATTTCCCTCCCGTCCGCATCTACTCTGGTTGGGCCTGGACCAGGGTCTGGCAAAGTGTCAAACAGTTCTTGTACTTCTGGCCCCGCCGTGTGCAGCAACAATGCCCGTTGTTGTGGCGCATTTACCACCGCTTTTGCGTCAAGAAAGTACTGGAACGATTTCTTCCATTTGGCCCAGCGTGGTCCCAACTTGGAAGCATGGCCTGTCATATCGAACGGCCTTACGGCTCCAATTTCCAAACTTATGGCTGCCATTATGCATCAAACGACTCACCAAGACTTTAACTACCTCGTCGCCACTGTTATGTCCTCGCACCTCGGCTCTATGCCCGGCTCACAGCCTTAGTAAAAGACTAATATTCAAAAGCTTGTCGTATAATCATCCATCTTTTATTTCTCGTCTAGAACCGGGTGGCGGCGCCACCATACAGCGGTAACTATTACTCTATTGAAAACCTATTATTGCCGACAATTTCCTGTAAATGCCGTCCAAATGCTCATATATATATTTATGTTTCAGTGTGCAGCAGCTTGCGTGCGGCAGCCAGCGTGTGTTGCAGATGAGCATTTGGACGGCATTTACAGTAAATTGTCGGCAATAATACTAGGTGAAGAGAGTAGAGGAACATTAGGACTTTGGTAGTAAATACATTTCGTATTTATTTAGCATTATATTTTATTGAAACGCTCCAAGTGCCTGTGATCCAGAGAGACGGGATACCAGAGAAGTGTTGCCGAAAAGAGGTGTTGATCCTAAGCGCTGAGCGCAGATCTTGCGCGCAGTTCCGCGGCAAGGCGCACGCGACCGCGGGAACGTCCTACGACAGTATGCAGCGCTGGCAGCTATAAGCCACACATCCACTCTTCGTACGGAAACCGCCACCGATACGGTAGGCTGCACAGTAAAACCACCTTGACAGCCACAAAGAAACTGAACTTAGGATGCCCTTTAAGCCGGGGGAGAGGTCACAAAAATCTTTTTTGGATGGGGTGCGAAATGAAAGTGTCAATGACACTATAGCTCACATTGGGTGTGATAGATGAGGAAGATGATATTTAAAATTTGGTAAGTGTTTCATTTATGACGGACCGAAATGTGATCAAATGTCCATAATCCCTGTTTTATACTAATAGAAATTTCAGTTTTGTTTCAGGGTTAGATAGGCCATATATATTGTCAAAATATACCTAATTTGCATAATTAAAAAAAAAAATCAAAATCACTTGACGGTGTCAAGGTGAGCTCAAAATGCCTGCGCCCTGAAATCCAACGTGCTAAATCTGCAAGACGAGATGCATATATATAGCAACAGCCCTGTATGATATATTTGTAATATGTGATTCCTGGTGCTTGTAAATAAAGCTCACTTGAAAAAGCATTTACTTTGTATACTGTGTCTAATTCTCATCGATTCCTTGCCTGAAATTTGAACTTAAATACATTTTAAGTTCCGAAAACATTTCTGTGTAATGTTTTGGGAAGGTTACTTTGGCTCATAGTGTCTATGTCCCCCAGAGTACTGCCGGAACGTACCCTGGTAACTATTTGATATGGTTAGGGTTAGGGTTAGGGTACGGGTTAGGGTTAGGGTTAGGGAGTAGGCGTAGGCAACTACTTAGACTCGTTAGTGGAGTAGGCGAGGTACGGTCCGGCATATTAGATAGTACCAGGGTACGTTCCGGCAGTACCCTGGGGGACATAGACCCTCTCAGCCTAACTTTGTGCTGTATTCTCCATGTTCACATAACATTGCAAAATCATGCAAAAAACATTACCACATTGTTGCCACAATATAGAAAATGGTGTTTTGGCACCATTGTGGTAACATTTCTACACCATTACATTGTAACGTAACAATGTTTTCACAACGTTATTCTACAGTAAAACGTTGTTGCGGGAACCTCAAAAGAACACCACCTAGTTCAGTGCTCGAAATAAGAAAAAAAATGTGGTTGTCCAATCGGGTTGTCCGCAACAATTTCTGGTTGTCTCAAAAAAATTCCCCCAAATCTCCTATTTTCAATCACATAATAATATGGTCAGAAAACACCCAAAAACAGTGATGTAGCCAGGATTTTTTAACAAGGGTGGCCAAAAACAGCAAACTGCGCAAAATAGTGGATGACTTAATACTTTAATGGCTCCTCCGTCTCCCTCTCCACATCCTTAGTAACGGCTCCTCTACCTTCTCTGCAATCTTTGTTTTGGGTGCCATGCGAAAAGGCGACATTTTTGTTCATTGTTCTCTGCTCCCAAGATATGTAATTGTTCAGTGGCGGAAGTAGGCTATTGACGAGGTCTGGCCCACTGAGCAGAACGTTGTTAAGCGAGACTCCTCTGAACTGACAACTAGAGTCAAACACTACTCGGATTTTGTTTGGTTTCTTTGGGTGATACACCCCAAAGTGTGCCAAGTACCAGAATTCCTCTTCACGTTCGGGTCTGGTGGCTATCTCCGCATGTCCTTTGACAAAAAGATCCTGCATGAAGGTGACGTAGTGATTTTTCTTCACTGGGTTCTGATTCAGAGAGCGCTTCAAACTCATCAGTCGTCTGTAAGCCGCCTCCCTGTTGTCGGGTAACGCCTGCCTCGGCACCTTGAAAGGCAGTGGGGCTGTCCAGCTGTTTGAACCATCCACGTACATCTCCTTATCCATAATAGCGAGAAACTTTCTATCATCTACGGAGAACCCCGCTCTGTTGTCGCTTTTGGTTTGTTTGAATACAGACTGTCCAATACCGTCCTCAAACCTACCATTTGCAAAGAATCCCTTCCTGACCTGGGAATCTGATTTCTCATGGCTTAGTGATAAGTTTGTGCCGTCGCCATCATCTAGTTCGACTGAATCAAGCCCGTCCACATATCTCACATCTCTGGGGTTGACTTCCCTTAGCAAAAACTTATTCGGACAGGGCTGGAAGCACGATGTCCTCCCGTTGGCGTGTACAAACGTTTTGTATGTGCCCACCTGGTCAGGTATGTGTACTCCGTTGAGACACACATCACCAATAATAACCCAACCCAGGTCTAGTCTTTGGGCAAATGGTAAATTCCCGGGTCCATTTCGCTGCTCCCGGACCTTGTGCACCTGCAGAACATCTCGGCCAAGTAACATCAAGATCTGAGCCTGCTTGTCAACATCAGGAACGTAGTCGGCAATTGATCGCAAATGAGCGTAGTGTCTTGCCACATCTGATGTCGGGATTTCAGAGCGATTGTTGGGAATGTCACTACACTCGATCAAGGTCGGTAGCGGAATTTTCACTTTCCCATCTAAGCTCTCGATAGTCAGATCTTTAGCTCTTCTTCCCTGAGTCTGTACTAGACCAGAGCATGTTCTGAGAGAGTAGGGACTGGAATTGCCCTTCAAATGTAACTCCTCAAAGATTTCGGGTCTGACTAGGGACCTGTTGCTTTGGTCGTCCAGCAGTGCGTACACTCTCTTCGCTAACTGTGGCTTTCCCAAAGGATATACGTTCACAAGAACGATCTTGGTACAGGACTTCCCTAAACTTTTACTGTCTCCGCAGATTTCAGTGCATGTAGTCGATACACTGCTACTGGGCATATTCGAAGGTCTGTCTTCCCTGACATGCTTGCCTTCAGTTTGCTCCCCGCCATGCTGCGCAGGGGCATGGGATTTCCCTCGATCGACATGGAGGGCTGTAGCATGACGATCACTGCCACATTCGAGGCACCTTGCTTTCAACGTACAGTTTTTGGATACGTGTTTGGTGGACGCGAGGCATCTGAAGCACAGTTTCAAGTCTTTGAGAATGTTCAACCGTTCATCTAAGGGCTTCTCCCGGAATGATCGACATTTATGAAGAGGGTGAGGACTTTTGTGAATCGGACATTCTCCCACCTGGTCATGCGAGTTCTTACTATTGTCGACTTCAGTCTTTCTCGCGACTACCTTGTCGTTGGTTCTCCTGGTTCTAGATTCGGTCGTTAACGGAAAACTTGGATCGTTCCACTCGTCCGCCATCTTGCGGACGAACGTCGAAAAGAATTCGAACGGAGGGAATGCGACATCGTACTTGTCCTTGTACTCTCTTCCTCTTGTTCTCCACTTGGTTTGGAGACCGAATGGGAGTTTCTGAACAAAGTCATTGATCCCTAGATGCGTGTCTAGATAGCATAGACCAGGGAGTTCGCCCTTTGCAGCTTTCAGCATGTACAGAAGATCACTGAATTCCCTTAGCTGGCAATTTTCTTGGTTACCGATCTTCGGGAAGGCCTTAACCTTGCCCAACAGTGCGTCGGTGACCACTTCTGGCCTCCCATAGCTTTCATCCAATCGCTCCCATGCCTCTTGCAAACCGAGCGCTGGATCATGAACATTCACGGAACGAATCTTTGTTACGATTTCATGTGATCTCCTGTTTGTCCATTTTACGAGTAGATCTAGCTCCTCTGCGGGGGTAACATGTGTGTGTTTAATTGTGTTCTGAAAACTTAGCTTCCACGCTCTGTAATTCTCAGGACGCTCATCAAATTGTGTTAAACCCTGCACGACAAGATCCTTACGCGTGAAATACTCAAATAGACCTTTGACACCTGCCGTATCTGATGACATCTCGCTGCGTTGCTGCAGAGTAGCTTGTTGGGGCGGGTCAAGGTGCCACCTCTCATAAATCAGAAAACCTGACATATACCAGTGTTGGAAATAGCAGCTGGTATGCGTCGCTTTCCCACACCATAGATTAATGGCGGGCTGCCAGGCTATAAGTGCTCTTGGAGAACCCAAGAAAATCATAAATAAAGTGCGTTTTTTCGTCAATTTTTTTCTTGGTTGTCCACCGGACAATGTCTCAGACTGGTTAGGTTGTCCGGCACAAATTCTGGTTGTCTCGGACAACCGGACAACGCTTATTTTGAGCACTGTAGTTACATCCCCAGAACGTTACAAAAAACTTTTCGGAACGTTATGCTAGCCGCACACTATACGATTTTGCACTGTGCACAGCACTAAGCCCCCGCACACTATATGACGCACACTCCCGATCGATCGGGAGGCCACCGCACACTGTCCGACTCAAAGTTGACGCAAACCATGGCACTCTCATGGCGTTCCAAGCGGATTTAGCGTGTACTAAGGGTCGGGAGTGTTTCCCATGGTTCGAATTCCATTCCATTCGAATGCGGTTCCCATGGCGCTGCTCTGTAATTGGTCAATTCTCTTCAGCGCTCGCCGATCGGGTCGGATGGCCACGCACAGTATCCGAGTCGCATCGTAAGCCCCCGCACACTATACGACCCGATCCGCTCCCGATTCAAAATTCGAATCGGGTCAAAATGACCTCCCGAGCCAAACTTAAGCCTCTCGAGCCAAACTTGAGCCTCCCGGTTCAATCGTAAGCCTCCTGATCGCGCTCGGGTCGGATAGTGTGCGGCTAGCATTAGTTTAACATTCTGTGAACGGTTCCAGAACGTGATTGGGCTAGCTGTGTAGCAACCATGCAATTCACATCTCAGGAGTTTAGACCTAGGATTAATGACCGCTCTCAATGTCAGAAAAGCACTGAATGGTGGTAAAGAGGTCAGAAGGACACCCACATCCACGACTCATGCTTCATATAATCTTAGCTCCAAGAAACGACAATACGGTATTACAATAGGGTTACAATAGGGTTACAGTAGGGTTACAATAGGGTTACAATAGGGTTACAATAGGGTTACAATACGGTATTGTATAGACAATCCGTCGCACAGCCTGGTCGGGCTACATATAATCTGATTATAGGCCGTTATTTTTCATTGCGCTAACAATGGATTACGATACGTATTTATCTATAAACTAATAGTATAACATAGCGGGAAAATACTACCTCAATGTCAGGAACATCTTTGCTTACTGAATACATGGCGAGAACTTGACGTTGATAACACAAGTTAAAAACATCAGAAGTGTGTCACTGTCCATACATGTAGTGAGTAGCGAGTGGCATATTGGCATTGGAGTGGTAGCGAAGTGTGCGCCGATGTGCGCATGTCCGTGGCGCACTACGAATCGTACGGTGCAGTTGCAGCCTTCAACCAATAAGTAATCCTTAATTTAAATAGCCGCACAATGCGCATCCAAACGCTAATTTCTCCAGTACTATAGACTAGCAAATACTTCGTGTCATGCATAATCACACTACCTTATGACAAAAAAACTCTAGTTACTCCCATTTCACTGCGCGTTGTCTTATAAAAGGTATTTGGAGGTTGGTAAACGATAAAAGGAGAATGTTATATATGTACACTTATGTTATACTCTAGCAAACGGTTTCGAGCGTTGCCCGAACATTTGATTGATGGTAAATTTCTATACTAAGTATCGGCATAGACTTGTATCGCCATAGTATATGGTATCGCTCAGTCATCTCTCTCTCTCTCTCCCTCTCTCTCTCTCTCTCTCTCTCTCTCTCTCTCTCTCTCTCAGCATTTTTTTGCTGTGCGTGAGATATTGTAAGATCAGCGTGAGAGCGTGAGAGTTGGCAGCCCTGGTATTTTGATTTTCGATTTTCGATGACAGCAGGCGAAAGTGCAGCATTTGAATACAGCTTACTTCATTAGGATTATATATAGTATCTAACGATTTCCTGACAGCTTCTTTTTTTATATATAAACAATTAATACATTATCTCGCATCTCTATCATGTATGTGACCTTGCCTTATATCATATGCACCCCTAGTAGGCAAATGCAGACGTTATAACTCCGCTTTGCTAATGTGAGGGTGCGGGTTTATCATCACCCCATTACTGGGGTCTGCGTCGGCTCGGACTAATGCACTTGCCCACTGCCATTGTCATTGTCAGTATCAGGAACTAGCTAGAGTAAATTGCTTGCTATATAAGCAGGGGTTGTCTAGTATAGGGGTATTCTAACCCTAGCAAAGACCGTTTCTTGGAGCTAGCAGTAGTACTATACTATATAGTATTAGTACTAGTAGTAGTAGCTGTAGTACTGTAGTAGTAGCTGTAGTACTATAGTAGTAACTAGTAGTAGTAGTACTAGTAGTCTAGTAGTACTAGTAGTAGTACTAGTAGTAGTAACTAGTACTAGTACTAGTACTAGTAGCTAGTACTAGTACTAGTAGTAGTAGTGCTAGTTGTACTGTGACTACTCCCGCAGCGCTCTAAAAACACCGCGCAGAATCTCACAACAGCATAACCTAACACCTCCATGGCCACTTGTCAGGTAACTCATGTTTAATCGGTGTAAATGCGGTAAACTGTAACACAAAAATGAGGAGTGGTAAGTATGCATTCGCTACTACACGGTGATTACAGTCTCATAATCATCAATATACAATGCCTGCCTCAGTTATCAAAAAACAGTAGTGAGCTTGGAAAATATTCAAAGCATTCAACAGAACACACCCCGGTATGCTAAATAACCAGTAAAATATAGTGTGGCACGCACTAGCACTGTTATACACACTAATTGCAAGCTCCGCCAGTCTTTACAAACTAAATTAAAGATTTACAAATGTCGTGGGTTGTAATAACACGACGAAGATGAGTCTAATGATTGAACCTGTACGAGTCTCACAGAACAAGTGTCCGTTACATTTTGGTGAGACCCACCACAACGCGGCAATGTAAATCTGCTTAAATTAACGATGACAGTTTCTGATTCGCACATAAACGTGTTCTGCAGACATTTATCTGAATACTTGCACCAAATATTTATCGAACTTACAGACTGTGCGCTGTCAGGGCTAGATGTACGACGAACGTAAATTGGCAACAAAGCCAAACTAAAAATGGCAGCTTCCTACTAAGTCACGCTGCAACAAGCCAGTGTAACATACGGTCGTAGTCACGACTCCTACCGCCATAGATCTATCGGTGAGACAGAACACTAGTACTTAGTAGTAGTAGTAGTAGTAGTAGTAGTACTAGTAGTACTTACTAGTAATTATTGTAACATGTACTTGTAGTAATAGAAGTATTCGTAGGTGTGGATACAATTGTATCACCCTCAGTGAAGACCTGTGTAAACACAATTTGTTGTGTAGTCGAGTAGTTAGTTGTGTGCAAAGTCGTAGGCAAATGCTATGCATATAGCCTCATTGCGCCATCTATCGCACACCATATGTACTACACTCATGTACACTGATGTACCGTGATGTCAACAAAAAATCAAACTCGGTTTTTTACAGGAAACAAAGCGCGCCGAGTAGCCAAAAATGTTGTACGAGCACTTCGAGGAAATATCTAGCTACCTGGGTAGTGAAACCCGTCGTGCAATGGGCAGAACTGCTCAATGCAATGGACCGATTATACGGGTTTGGCGTATATAGTGGACCTGTTCAAGGTGTTGGAAAGAGTGCAGCAAAGTTGTGTTAGTGTGCCGCTACGCGGCGTTTTTCGCGCTTCGCGCGGATATCTGGGCTGCCAATCGTCAAGAGTACATAATGGGAGATTATGTTAATATTATTATAATTTATATCCTTGGGCCGTTATTTTTCTTTGTGCTAACAATGGATTACGATACGTACCGGTATTTATCTATAAACTAATAGTATAGCTCATAGGGTCTATGTCCCCCAGGGTACTGCCGAAACGTACCCTGGGTACGATCCGGTATACCGGAACGTACCCTGGTAACTATTTGATATGGTTAGGGTTAGGGTTAGGCTTAGGGTTAGGGTTAGGGAGTAGGCGTAGGCGACTCCCTAGACTCGTTAGTGGAGTAGGCGAGGTACGGTCCGGCATATTAGATAGTAGACCAAATAATTCTCTCCCATATAACCTTTTTTATATTTTGGC